GGGCGGAATTCTCCGTGCGCCATCTCCCGCTTGGGCTCCTCTTGGGGCCGTCTTGGGGCCCTCTTGGGCGATCTTGAGCGCCTCTTGGGCAGTTTTGGGGCCCTCTTGGACCGTCTTGGGGCCCCCTTGGGGGCCTTTTGGGCCGTCTTGGTGCGGTCTTGGGGGCCTCTGGGGCCATCTTGGAGCGTCGGGAGCCCGAACACGCGAGATCGCAAATAACATTGTAAGACACAAGGACAATCAAAGATGTTTGCCAATGTTGGCCTTATAGGGGGTTCTCTTGGAGCGCTCTTGGGGCTTCTTTGGGGCCTCTCGGGCCGTCTTGGGGCCATCTTGGGCGTCTTGGAGCGCTCTTGGGCTGTCTTCAAGGCCTCTTGGATCCTCGTGCGCGCTTCTTGGGTCCTTCTGGGCCCGCCTTGGGCCCCCCTGGCTGTTGGAAAAGTCACGCGGGGCAGCCCAAGGAGGCGCGAGATCGCCCATGAAATTTGAGAATTTGGGCCCCCAGCCCATAGAATACTAGAACCCCCCAGGCCTCGGTACAGAGAACAGAGGGCACATGATGACCTGGGGAGAGCTCCACTTCGCGCCTCGCGGCACGGTGGTGGATGATAATACGAAGCTTAGTAATCATCTTAGAAGAAGAAGCAGACGACTACTACGAAAACGAAGAACACTACTACGACTAAGACGAATATTAGCAACCATAACATCAGTAGCACTCGTACGAATAATAGCACCAATGCTTCGACAATAAACAATACTACTAAAAGTAGTGATGAACAGAGGAAGGCGAATCCTAACACGACTAAGTATACCGGTACTTTGAATGATGATAACCATAATAGTATTAGCAGTGTTAGTGTTAACAGTATTAATATTAAGAAAATAAGAAGAAGCAAGGGGGAAATGAGAAAACGAGGGGGAGCTGAGGGGACGGGAATGAGGTTCACAGTGTCCTATTCAACACGAGTGCCCAACACAGGCGGGTTGGGAATAGCATGTGGCAGTTCTTGTCCCTGGGCCTCTGAATTCGCGTGAAATGTTATACTGTCGCCCTCGGGTTCAACACGGCCGTGTCACGATATAGTTGACTCCCTACGGGCCCGCGAACACCAATACATTTGACATTGTTTCCCGATGTACAGGTACATGATGATGGCGATGATGACGATGATGATGGTGCTGATTCTGATCATACTGATGATGCTGATGCTGATGTTGATGCTGATGCTGATGCTGATGATGATGACGATGATGCTTATGATGATGATGATGATGATGATGATGATGATGATGATGACGATGACGATGCTGTTGATGATGATGATGATGATGATGATGATGATGATGATGATGTTGGTGATGCTGATGATGCTGATGATGGTACTGACGATGATGCAGATGCTGGTGCTGGTGCTGGTGCTGGTGCTGATGCTGATGCTGATGCTGATGCTGATGATGACGATGATCATGATGATGATGCTGATGATGATGATGATGAAGATGATGATGATTGTGATGACGATGATGCTGATTATGATGGTGATGGTGGTGATGATGATGACGATGATGCTTATGATGATGATAGTGGTGGTGGTGGTGATGATGATGATGATGATGATGATGATGATGATGCTGATGCTGATACTGATGCTGATGCTGATGATGACGATTATGCTGATGACGGTGATGATGATGATGATGATGATGATGATGATGATGCTGATGATGATGATGATGCTGATGATGATGATGATGATGATGATGCTGATGATGATGCTGATGCTGATGATGATGATGATGGTGGTGGTGGTGATGATGATGATGATGAGGATGATGATGATGATGAGGAGGAGGAGGAGGAGGAGGAGGGGGTGGCTTGGAGTTGAACAGGTGATGATGATGATGATGATGATGATGATGCTGATGATTATGATGATGATGCTGATGCTGATGATGATGATGATGATGATGATGATGATGATGATGATGATGATGATGATGATGATGATGATGATGATGATGATGATGATGATGATGATGATGATGATGCTGATCAAGGGGGGGAGGAGGCGGAAGAGGAGGAGGACGAGGAGGAGGAGGAGGAATATAGCACGGGGGGGAGAGACGAGGAGAGGAGGAACAGGTTTCGCAAGGACTCTTGTGGAGGTCTGGGGGTCTCCTGGGCCTTCCTGGGGCACCTGAGCCTCAGGGGCGTTTGTGGGAGCCCTCCAGAGGCGCCTGGTTGGCCTGGCGCCCTCTTGGGCCCTCCCGCGCCCTCTGAGGTTTTGTCCTGGGCCGTTCCGGATGGCCCTCTTCGGGGCCCTCTCTCGGGTCGGCTTGGCGGGGGGGGGCTGCGAAGGGCGCGGGCGATGGGGCCCCACCAGACGACACTCAGAATTGTACCCACCCCCTCGCGTCGTGAAAAAAACACGACGGGAAGTTTTTCGCTGTTTTCGGCCTCGGGGGGACCCCTCACGGGCATCGGGGCCGTCAAAAACGATTCAGTATGAGAAACCGGTTCTGGGGTAGGGATCCAGACCTCTCGGGGTCGACTCTGTGACAAAACACACGACGTCGGGGTCCTGGGTATCAGGCCCCAGCGCGCCAAGAGGCATGATGGCGTGGTGACGTTTTCGATGAGCGTTCTAACATCGGCCAGCGCACTTCTTGAGAACGCCTCCATTGGTTATGCGTGCGTCGCCGTGAGTTTGATGGTTTTAGACTTGGGGGGGAGGGTCAGAGCGGTGGGGGGGATTACATGGAGACAGGTCCATGCGGAATTCAGATGGTGACAAGTGACAAGGAGATGTAGACGCAAGGTTGCGGATCGCATCCAGACCCAATTGACTGCGGTGCAGGCTCGAACAAAGTTCTTCGGCCCCACAGAGGAGGAGGAGTTGCGAGGCGACTGCGTTGCATGGAAGGGGCGCGTGCTCTCTCGCCAGCATTGGTCTGTCGCTCTGCTCCCCCAGAAATGTTTCCGCTGGGGGGTCGCGCTTCTCTGTTTGAGCAGGTGGTCCGCCTGGTGCCCGGTCGGTTGCCGCCCGTGGGCGCCTCGTGGGCGCCCCGTGCGCTGGGTGGGTGTGCCGAGGTTCCGCCTGGTGCCCGGTCGGTTGTCGCCCGTGGGCTCTTTGTGGGCGCCTCGTGGGCGCCCGCAAGGCTTGCACCACTTTGCAGCTCACATCTCGCACCGCATTCGTGTGCACTGCCTGGTGTACAGCCACGGATTGCGCCAAGATTGCGCCACGTGTCTTTCACATTCCGTGTGGCTTAACCCACTGCTTCGGGGCCACGCGGGAAATCATCATTGTACTTTATTGCGTGTCGATCGAAAGTGTTGGGTTTGAGCCTGTGGACCAGCAGCCACGGAGTGGTCCTATGGCTGTTGTTAAGATCGATCAACATGATTGCTCCCCTTTCTGAGACTATCAATGCGCACGCATGGCCTGCGTTGACGAAGTGCTTGTCCACAGTTTGTGTGTCTGCATAGAGATCGTAAGAGTGGGACTCTGCGTTGTATTGTCGTGCGCCGTTCATGTGTAATCCAGCTTGCACCCGAGGAGGAGGGAGGAGAACGCTCGGCTTGCCACTGTGTTGTTTCAATCGCGTTTCTTCGACTTGCAGTGCGCGTGTCTCGTTACTCTCGTTGGTCCATGCAGCGCGCGATCTGGATAGCCCTTCAGAGGAGCAGCGGATTTCTCGATCTGCCTTTCCTCAGTGCTTTTTTTTGTGTGTGTGTCTGTGGGGGGGAACTTGTAATCCAGCTGCTTGGGGCATATCCCTTGACCGTGTCATCGCATCGCTGTTGCTCGACGACGTCGTGGTCTTGGTCCAGGTCGTGGTCGTGGTCATGGTGGTCGCCGTCGTCGTCGGTGGCGCTGGCACCGTCGTCGTCGTCGTCGTCGTCGTCGTCGTCGTCGTAGTAGTCGTAGTCGTCGTTGTCCTCGTTGTCCTCGTCGTCGTCGTCTTTCTTCTCGTGGTAGTCGTCGTGGTGGTGGTGGTGGTCGTCGTCATCGTCTTCGTGGTCATATTCGTCATGGTCGTGGTCATCGTCGTAGTTGTGGTCGTCGTGGTCGTGGTCGTCGTCGTCGTCGTCGCCGCTGTCGTCGTCGTCGTCGCCTTCGCCGTCGTCGTGGTCGTGGTCGTGGTCGTCGCCGTCCTTCCAGGATCGTCCACCGTTCTACCTGGTCCACCACTGTTCCGCCATGCTGTGTGGGTGGCCCCCCCCCGGGCCCTTTGGGCGCCCCTGGGCTGTCCTGGGCGCAACGGCTTTACGAAGCTTTTCCAAATATTCTTGGTGATAAAAGTCTGATCCAGACGTGCAACGCCCTGAAAAGTCAGGAAGGTGTTTCTCAAGTTTCGGCCTCTGGGGGCCATTACTGGGCCCCATGACCGTCAACAAATGATTTGTCTGGACATCGCATGTCTGGGGAGATCTTCTGGAAGTGTGTTGATGATTTTTCTGGTCTGGGGGATGGGGGTCCTGGTGGGGTCCTGGGTGGTCCTGGAACCATCTCCTGGGAGCTCCTGGGAGGTCCAGCGGAGTGCGCTTGTAAACGGATCCAGGCTATTCTTCACCTCCCAGAGCGCTACTAACTACTGCCAACCGCGAGCTCCTGGGAGCTTCAGTTGCACAACTGCTCCAGCGGAGTGCGGTCGTAAAACGGTGTCCGGGTCAGAGCTTCCCGCTGCCATCTGCGCCACTGTCGCCACTCGTGCGAGCTCCCGTGTAGCGGAGCGCCGTCCTACGCCTGAGTTTGCTCTGGTTCCTTCGTTTTCGCCTCGTGCAGCTTTGGGCGCGCAACACGTGCATACAGTGGAGGCCAATGCCAAGAAACACCCTGCTTGCCTCCAGGGTGCCCTCTGTGGAAAGCGCGACGCTTCCGCACCAAAAATCCGTGGACGTCCTGGGGTCTCAGGGTTGGGTTTCTTGTGGAAGGTTTCTCGTGGACTGGCCTCCACTGTGGGCTCCCCATGTACGGTGATGGCATTGGATAAAGGAAACCTTCGATGAGGAATCCAGGGTCTGGAAGCCAGTGGAAAGCCAATCGTGGATTTGGCCATGGATATCACCGCCACCCTCATCAGGAGTCCTCCAGGGTCTCAAGCCTCCTGGGCTCCTTCACGAGTGCCCCCACCGTAGCTCGCAGCAGACGCAGCGCGCCCCCCTTCTCTCCAGCCTGGGCTCTGGCCGCGCACCCTCCGGCTCTGGCTCTCCCGGGCCTCTGACAAGGCCGCCTGCGCCCTGGTCGCGGCGAAGGGTCTCTACGCTTACGTCGGGCGTGTCCCTCTACAGGAGGAAGGTTCAACAGTAGTGGTAGTAGTCTGGGGGCGATTGTTTGAACGTGTTTTGGATGTTCTGTGGCATGTTTTGCGTACTTTTACTGTTTCGTCCAAAATCCGCGTGTAGGGGACCATGCCCGACCTAACTCGACGCCCGAGGCCTCCTCCCCAGAGGTCCAGAGATCCGACGTCGTGTTTTTTTCGATGCAGTGGAGGCCCATGCCAAGAAGCATCACTGCTCTCCTCCAGGGTGCCCTGGGTTTCGTGGGTTTCGATGGCTTTGCCATGGAAAGCGTGACGCTCCCACATCAGAAATCAATGGACGTCCCAGGGTCTTAGGGTTGGATTTCTTGTGAAAGGTTTCTTGAGGACAGGCCTCCACTGTACGGGGCCCTCGGAAGTCTTGACCCATTCCCCCGGACCAGTTTTTCATCCCGAGTCGTTTTCCGACGGTCCCGAGGCCCGGCGAGGGCCCCCAGGGGCCGAAAGTTGAGAAAAAACCTCCGTGCTGATTTTTGTCAGCGCGTTGGACCTCAGCGCCTCGCGCTCCACCTCTGAGGCCGCCCTCCTCTTCTCCCTCCCGGCCTCGCGTGCCCCAGCTCGGCCGCGGCCCGCCGGCTCTCCGAGAACGGCGCAGGCCTCCGCCCCCACGGCGGGCCGAAACAGTGTGGCCGTGCGCGGCCGGGAGCGTCCCCGCCCCCCGCAATGGCGGAAGTAATAACAGGGTGCTCGGAAGAAGGCTTGCGACACCTATTGAACAGGAGGAGGAGGAGGAGGAGGAGGAGGAGGAGGAGGAGGAGGAGCAGGAGGAGGAAAAGGAGGAGGAGGAAAAAAAAGGAGGGTGAGGGTGAGGAGGAGGAGGAGGAGGAGTGTGAGGGTGCGGAGGAGAAGGAGGAGGAGGGGGAGGAGGATGAGGAAGGGGACCAGCGGAAGGGGGATGAGGAGGATCAGGTGATCGCAAACATGGATCAAGGGGGCGTGGATTAGCGACGGGTCCTGTTTCCGTCGGAACTCGCGGATTTCCGCCGCCGAACGAGGCGGCACCGGCCGCATTTCGGGGAGGGCACCTCCCCCGATCCATGGATTTGGCGACCGCGCGCCAAATTCATGGATCGCTAATCCATGTTTGCGCGCCCCTGAGGGGAGGAGGAGTCCCAGTCCGGAGTTTCTTCTGACGGCTTACTTGCGCAAGCATGCAATTCTGACTCTCTTTACGGTTGCCCCTCAGCGCGCCGGGCTAACATGCTCATCTGCTGTGCGACGACGAAGAAGGACTACAAGATGGTCAGCAATGCCGATGAGGTCTGCATCCAGGGAAGGCCAGAGAAAAGCTAAGCCAGCAGAAGTAATGGCCAGATCCTTTACGGCTCTATCATGGCTGAGCCATCTATCTCTCGCTCTCTCTTGCTCGCTCTCTCCTTTTTCTCGTCTCTCTCCCTCTCGTTCTCTCTGTCAGTCTGTCCGTCTGTCTGCCAGTCTGTCTGTCTGTGTGTCTGTCTGTCTGTCTGTCTGCCTGTCTGTCTGTCTGTCTGTCTGTCTGTCTGTCTGTCTGTCTGTATCTCTCTATGTATCTGTCTGTCTGTCTGTCTGTCTGTCTGTCTGTCTGTCTGTCTGCCTGCCTGTCTGTCTGTCTGTCTGTCTGTCTGTCTGTCTGTCCTCTGTCTGTCTGTCTCTCTTGCTCTCTCGTTTTTTCTCTCTGTCTCTCTCCTCTCTCTCTCTCTCTCGCTTCGTGAGACTCGAACCCCGTCTCGAATTCGGATCACGATCCCGATCCGGATCCAGATTGACAGGCCGACCAGCACATACGAGATTGTCGGCGCGAGCGTGACCACAGCGAGCTCGTTCTCTCAGACAGGGTAAGGGTACTTGTTGACACGTCCTGCCTGGAGAGCGAGGGCACAAGGACACCACACCACACTACACCGCACCACACCACACCGCACCGCACCGCACCGCACCGCACCACACCACACCACACCACACCAGACACACACACACACACGCTTCACATTTCCTCTCTCCCTCTCGCTCCTTCTACGCTGTCTCCCGCCTTCTCTCTCTCATACCCGCGTCCGTCTGTCCTTCTCTGTCGTCATGGTTGTCTCAAGGCAGCTCCTTTGCGGTGTCACGCCTCCATGCGCTTGCAGTCGCTCTCCTCTCGCTCCCAAGTGTGCCAAGGTGTCGTCCGTGGCTCACGCCCCGACCCTCTGCAGCCGTTGACTGAGCCTGCGTTACCACTGGGGCGTGCGTACGAAGCAGCGCAGGATCAGCTCACATCGGGATCAATCTTTGTACGGAGGGGCGAGCCAGTCGACAGGAAGTCAGCTGCGCAATGCACGAGGTATTGTTTGCAAGCCATGTGTTGTCATTCTCTTGTGCAGCAGCGTAGAGCCCTCTGCGCGCCCTTTCGTCTTCCTTCGCTCAGCTAGGGGAACAAAGATTTAAGCACAAAATTCAGAGGTCCGCGCGGGTTCCCTGGATCGTCGCTGGACCCCTTTTCTTGGCGCGCGGAGCCCGCCAGGAGCGGCGCCCGAGGCGCCGCCAGGGGGCCCCATCGCCGATCCGAGAAATCCGCGTCGGCGTCGGCGTCGGCGTTGGCCTCGGCGTCGGCGTCGGCGTCGGCGTCGGCATCGGCGTCGGCGTCAACGTCGGCGTCGGCGTCAACGTCGGCGTCGGCGTCGGCGTCGGCAACGGCGTCGGCGTCTGCGGCGGCGGCAGCGTCGTCGTCGTCGTGTTGTTTTTGTTTTTGTTGTTGTTGTTGTTGCTGTTGCTGTTGTTGCTATTGTTGCTGTTGTTGCTGTTGCTGTTGTTGCTGTTGTTGCTGTTGTTGTTGTCGTTGTTGTTGCTGTTGTGGCTGTTGTTGTTGTTGTTGTTCCTCCCCTGCCTGGAAAGATGGGTCGGGAGGGCGGCTGGGTCCGAAGATCCCGTGCCTGGTGACCGCCCCGGAGGCCCCGCGCGCTCCCCGCCCGAGCTTCTCTCTCTCCCGGTGGCTCTCTCGGGCCACAGCTCGGGCCCCTGGCGGCCGCTCGGCAGCGCCCGGGCACCCCCTGGACGCCTCCCCAGATCTCGTGCGTTCTTCCCGGATCTCGGCCTCTGGGGCCCATCATCGTCGGGGAGTCTCAAACACGGAGCCGGTGCGCAAAACTACCCCCCCAAGTGGAGGGGTCGGGAACGCTGGGGCCGTGCACCGGAGAAGCCCACATCGGAGGATGTTTGGCTCTCAGCGAGGGGGAGCTGTTGGAATCGAAGGGCAAAGTACGGCATGAGCATCCTTTCTCGGGGCTCCTCGCAGATTTCTCGGATCGGCGCTGGGGCCCTCTGGCGGCGCCGCCTCTGGCGCGCTCCGCGCGCCAGGGTCGGGTCCAGCGCAGATCCATGAAATCCGCGCGGACCTCCAGAAGTCTATGTTTGTGCCGTTCTTTGTTCCTCTCTGGAAAAAGCATCTCGTGGTTGGACAGATACCGAGAACCGACGAAAGCGGCGCTCTCGTCGTCGTCGTCGTCGTCGTCGACGTTGGCACCGCCGTCGTCGTCGTCGTCGACGTCGTCGACGTCGTCGTCGTCGTCGTCGTCGTCGTCGTCGTGGTCGTGGTCGTCGTCGTCGTCGTCGTCGTTCTCGTCGTCGTCGTTCTCGTCGTCGTCGTCGTTCTCGTCGTCTTTGTCGTCTTTATCGTCGTGGTCGTCGTGGTCGTCGTCGTCGTGGTGGTGGTGGTCGTCGTCGTCGTGGTCGTCGTTGTTGTCGTCGTCACCGTCGTCGCCGTCGCCGTCGCCGTCGCCGTCGCCGTCGTCGTCGTCGTCGCCGTCCTCGTCGTCGTCTTCGTCGTCGTCGGCGTCGCCGTCGTCGCTGAACCATTTCCTCTTTCTCGCCCTTGTGGAGTACAGACGAATCTTATTGGTTGCGCTCCTCCGTGCGTTGCCACGTGACTAGTAACTAGAACAATGTGTCTTCGCTCCCTGCGTTGCCACGCGGCGAATCGAGTAGAATGGCATTGATTGTTCGGCCTCAGGCGTTGCCACTCCACGGGCAGAGCAAAACTTTTTCCGTCGGCAGCGACGCGGGACGATCCGCTCCAGCGTGGCAGCGACGCAGGGGCATAAAAGCGAATTGGCCGGCACGCAGGAGGAGGGAAAAGGAAGGCAAGGGCGGCCGCGTGGAGGGAGAGGAGGGCGAGCACTCGGGCAGAGCAAACCACGAGTTGGCTTCCCCTCCCTGCGCTGCCACCCGACGAGAGCAGGCGGGCGCGCGGGCGCGCGGGCGGACGGGCCGCCGGGCAGGCGGGCAGGCGAGCGGGCGAGCGGGCGAGCGTGCGCGGGCGGGCGAGCGGGCGGGCGGGCGCGCGGGCGCGCGGGCTGGCGTGCGGGCCTGCGGACGGTGGTTGGCTAGATGGTGCTGGTCGACGGCGTCGACGTCGTCGTTCTCGTCATCATCGTCTTCGCCGTCGCCGTCGTCGGCGGAAGCGGCGTCGTCGCAGAACCATGTCCTCGTTGCATCCTTCGTGGAGTACGGACGAGTTTTATTGGCTACGTGCGTTGCCACGTGGCGAGTAGAACAATGTGTTCCCGCTCCCTGCATTGCCATGTGGCGAGTCCAGTAGAATTGTATCGAAGACGCCTACGGCGAACCACCGCCGCCTCCTGCCTTTTTGGAAGCGCCTAAGTGGCCGAACGTTGAGGCCAGACCTGCCAAGCAATCGGACCATGTGTTCCCCGAATCGGTTTGGAAAGCCTGCGGGGAACACGTGGGCATCTTGAAGGTCATCTTGGCCGTCTTGGTGGCCTCTTGGGCGATCTTTCGGCGATCTGTGGGGGCTCTTGGGCCGTCTCGGGCCGTCGGAAGGCCGAAAGGAAGGAAATGTCGAAATCCGTCAAAAACCTCAGGACAATCCATGTTTTTGGCCTCTTCTGGCCTTCCTGGAGGCCCTCTTGGGGGCCTCTTGGGCCTTCTTGGGCCAGCTTCGAGCCAACTTCGGCCATCTTGGTGGGTTCCTGGCACGTCTGACGATGTCGGGAGCCGTCTTGGGGGCCTTTCTGGGCCAACGGGGGGCTCTCTTGGGGCGCTTCTGGGCCGTCTTGGAGGCCATCTTGGGCGTCTTGGAGGCCATCTTGGGCGTGTTGGAGGCCTCTTGGGCCGTCTTGGGGCCCTCTTAGGGCCATCTTAGAGGCCACTTGGGCCGTCATGGGGCCCTCTTGGGGGCCTCTTGGGCGATCTTGGGGGCCTCTTGGGCCGTCTTGAGCTGTCGGCATGCCGAGAAGAAGCAATTTCCAGAATCCTTCAAACACCGAAGGAAAAGCAATGATTTTGGCCTCTTCGGGCCCTCCTGGAGGACCTCTTGGAGGCCTCTTGGGCCGTCTGGGAGGCCTCTGGGGGGCCTCTTGGGCCGTCTTGGGCCGTCTTGGACTCTCTTGGGCCGTCTTGGAGGCCGTCTTGGACCGTCTTGGGCGGACTTGGAGGCCATCTTGGGCCATCTTCGCGATTGTTTGAGGATGTCCCGAGCGAAACGGCCGTTTCAGGCATTGACTGATGCAGTTTCCGGGTGGCCGGCGGGACGTGCCGGAGCCCCAGGGGGAGTTTTTTTGGAAAAAGAACCAAGACCAAAAGCCATATCGTTCGGCACGCCAGGCACCCCTTTGCTAAAGCAAAAGGGGGCGGCGGATCCAGCTGCCTGCGGCAAATCCCGCCACCGTGCCGGCACAGCATTCTGGGTGGCGACTGTTCGAGGGGGCACGGGAGGCCGTCACGTGTGACACTTCGTGTCTCCAGGGTTGAGAGTGGCGTGATGGTGATGATGATGATGATGATGATGATGATGGTGGTGGTGGTGGTGGTGGTGGTGGTGGTGGTGGTGGTGGTGATGATGATGATGATGATGGTGATGATGATGGTGGTGGTGGTGGTGATGATATTGCTGATGATGATGGCGGTGGTGATGATGACGACCATGACGACGATGACGATGCCAGGGATGATGATGCTGATGATGGTGATGGCCATGATAATGATCATGATCATGATGCTGACGATGATGCTGATGACGAGGATGATGAGGATGAGGATTATATTGGTGGTGGTGGTGGCGGTGTTGATGACGACGATGATGCTGATGATGATGATGATGATGGTCATGATCGTGATAATGATCATGCTCATGATCATGATGCTGACGATGATCCTGATGACGAGGGTGAGGATGAAGATGAGGATTGTAATGGTGGTGGTGGTGGCGGTGTTGATGACGATGATGATGATGCTGATGATGGTGATGGTGATGGTGATGGTGATGATGGTGATTTTGCTAAGCATCAGCAGCAGCAGCACCAACATCATGCTGCTGCTGATGCCGATGCTGATTGTGGTGCTGATGCTGACGCTGATGCTGACGCTGATGCTGATGCTGATGCTGGTGCTGTTGCTGCTGCTGATGCTGCTGCTGCTGATGATGATGATGATGCTGATGATGATGATGATGATGATGATGATGATGATGATGATGATGATGAGGATGAGGAGGAGGAGGAGGAGGAGGAGGAGGAGGAGGAGGAGGGCGAGGAGGAGGAGGAGGGCGAGGAAGAGGAGGAGGAGCACGATGAGTAGGAGGAGGAGGAGGAGGAGGAGGAGGAAGAAAAGGCCGTCACATGTGTCACCTCTCGTCTTCACTGCTGGAGGAGCTCTTACGGAATCGGTTGGGCCGTCTTCGGGCCGTCTTGGCCTCCTGTGAGGCAGTCTTGGGGGTCCCTTGGGGCCCTCTTGGGCCTTCTTGGGACACTCTCATGCCGCCTTGGGGCTCTATTGAGCCGTCTTGGGGCCCTCTTTGTTGTACGGCGGGGTGGGTGCCTGGGGGCCGTCGTGGGACCGTACGTCGCAAGGTCTTCCGAGGCCGTTTTTGGTCCCACGGGGGGCCGTCTTCGGGCCGCCTTGGATGATTGGGGCCATCGTGGAGGCCTTTTGGGGGGTCTTGAGCTGGCGGAAGCATGAAAAGGCGAGAGAGCGACAATATTTCAAAACCGAGAGGGACATCATTGACTTTGGCTTCTTCGGGCCCTGTTGTAGGTTCGTTTGTGGCCCTTTGGGGCCCTCTTGGGGGCCTCTTGGAGGCCTCTTGAAGCCATATTGGCCGCCTTTGGACCATCTTGGGTTGTCTTCGAGGCATCTTTGGCCATCTTGGTGTCTTTGGTTGCTTGCCTGGACCGTCTTGGCAGCTCGAGGCGCGGACATCTCGTTATGTTTCCGAGGGGTCGTGACCTTAGGAGGGGGGGCGGTGCGCGCAAGGAGACACGAGTGGGGGGGGGTCCTTTGCCAGAGTGCATAAACCCTACCAGAGACAGACCTTGGCATCCTTCCACGCCTCAACGTGCACAAGGCACCGTGGCCGATCCGCCACCGCGCTCGGACGGGCGGCGGAGGGGGAGCGCCTTGGGTGGGGAGGGGGGGAGGGTCCATATGCCTGGGAGGCCAAGAACGCAGGGACTTGGCCACACAGGTGAACGCATCTTGAGCTCCATGCGTCGGGTACCCCTGGATATCCAGCTGCCTCCGGCAATTCCGCCACCGTGCCAGCGCAGCATTCTGGGTGGCAGTTGCTCGACAATGCAAGGGGGCCTGCTGGGGCCTCTTGGGGCAGAATCTGAAAGCGCGCCACTGGATCACCCTGTAGTTGAAAAGGGGGAGGGGGTCCGAACCCCCCCCCCCTCCCCCCCTTCAAAGGGGGGGTGAGATTTTCGACCCCCACCCCCCTCCCCCCGTCGGCGCTGGAAAGGGGAGGGGGGGTTCGACCCCCCCCCCCTCACCCCACTTGCGCCGAACAGGGGGCCGGGGAGAGGGCCTCTCCCGCAAGGGGGGGGGTCTGGCCTTGGGATAGTGAGTAGTGAGTAGTGAGTAGATAGAACTGAGTAGTGAGGTGAGTAGTGAATAGTGAATAGTGAGTAGTGAGTAGATAGTAGCGAGTAGTGAGGAGTGAGTAGTGAGTACTGCGCAGTGAGTAGTGAGTAGTGGGTAGTGGGGAGTGGGGAGTGACTAGTGAGTAGCGAGTAGGGAGTAGCGAGTAGTGATTAGTGAGTCGTGAATAGGGCACTGCGAGTAGTGAGTAGTGAGGAGGGAGTAGTCAGTAGTGAGTAGCGAGTAGGGAGTAGCGAGTAGTGAGTAGTGAGTAGTGAGTAGCGAGTAGGGAGTAGTGAGTTGTGAGCAGTGAGTAGTGAGAAGTGAGAAGGTGGTATTGAGTGTTGGGCAGTGGGTAGTGCTTAGGAAGTAGCGAGTAGTGGGTAGTGAGTAATGAGTCGTGAGTTGTGAGTAGTGAGTACTGAATAGTGAGTAGTGAGTAGCGACCCGTGACTAGTGACTAGCGAGTAGGGAGTAGGGAGTTGTGCGTAGTGAGTAGTCAGTAGTGCGTAGTGGGCAGGTCATATTGCGTAGTGAGTAGTGCGTAGTGAGTCGTGCGTAGTGGGTAGTGAGGCGTGAATAATGAGTAGTGAGTACAGAGTAGTGAGTAGTGAGTAGCGTAGCGACTTGTGACTAGTGGCTAGTGGGTCGCGAGTCGGGAGTAGGGAGTAGCGAGTAGTGAGTAGCGAGTAGTGAGCAGTGAGTACTGTGTAGGGAGTAGCGAGTAGCGAGCAGCGGATAGTGAGTAGTGAGTTGTGGGCAGTGGGTAGTGAGTAGTGAACTGTGCGTACTCAGTAGTGATTGCTGGATAGTGGGCAGTGGGTGGTGAGTACTAAGTGAGTAGTGAGTAGTGGGCAGTGAGTCGTGTTTAATGAGTCGTGAGTATTGCATACTGGTAGTGAATAGTGACTTGGGAGTTGGGAGTAATGAGTAGGGAGTAGTGAGTAGTGGAAGCGTAGTGCGTAGTGAATTGTGGGTAGTGAGTGGTGCGTATTGGGTAGCGAGTAGGGTGTAGGGAGTAGCGAGTAGTGGGTCGTGAGTCGTGAGTACTGTGTAGTGATTTGGGAATAGCGAGTAGTGGATAGTGAGTAGTGAATTGTGGGCAGTGAGTAGTGAGTAGTGAAGTGTGAGTAGTGAGCAGTGAGTCGAAACCAATTGCCCTAGCCAGCTCAACCTGCCAACCCGTCCAACCAGCCAGCCAGCCCACCCAGCCACCCCGCCACCCAGCCAACCCGTCAGCCAACCAGCCCAGCCGCCCACCCCGTCATCCCGCCAACCAGCCGATCCCCTCCGCCTGCTCTCCGTGCCCAACCAGCCACCCTGCCAACCCGCTCTCCCCCGCCGCCTGCCCTCCGTCACCGCCGAGAGGGGGGGGGGAAGTGTTTCTTACCAACGAAAACAGGAAAACTAGCCCTCCCGGGGACCGGCGGGACAGCGGGGAGGGGGCAAATCGCACCGTACTATGCGGGACTGGGAATGGCGGGGGGGTGCGCCCGGCGCGGTTTTGGGCCTCAAGTGTGTAACTGTCGTCATTTTTCAACGTCCACCGCGCCTTCTTTCTCAATGGGAAGGCTCCTATCCTTGAAACTGTCGCCAATTTTGAAGCCCCGCGCGTGGCTTTTTGGAGAGCCGCCAAGAGGCCCCAGGAGGTCTCAGGAGGCATCAGGAAGCTCCAGGAGGCTTCAGGACGTCCCCGGAGACCGTGGGAATCCTAAGGAGGCTCCAGGACGCTCCACGAGGTCCCAGGATGCCCCGCGAGGTCCCGCAAGGCCCCAGGAGGTCCCATCACGCTCCGGGCGTATCCTGAACGACCCAAAAGTTCCAGAACGCTGCGGACGCCCCTGGAGGGCTGAGGATACCCTAGGAGAGCCCAGGAGGTTTCAAGAGGCCGCAGGAAGTCCCCAGAGGTTGCTATCCCAGGAGGCCCCCGGGATTACCAGGAGGCTCCATGAGGTCCCATGGTCCATCACGCCCGAGGTAGGGAGGGGGAGGCGGAGGAGGAGGAGGACGTGGAGGAGGAGGAGGAGGAGGAGGAAGACAAGGAAAAGGAGGAGGGGGACGAGGAGAAGGATGAGGAGGAGGACGAGCATGATGAGGAAAGGATGAACAGGGTGACAGCGTGACGCCCCAGCAAATACACTTGGCCCAATTGGTTTCTAGCCCCGTGGGGGCCGTTACATGGTAGTGGATAGTGGTTAGTGGGTGGTGAGTCGTGATTTGTGTTTTGTGCGTAGTGGGTAGTGAGTTGTGTTGAGTGAGTAGTGAGTATTGAGCAGTGGCTAGTGCGTAATGAGTAGTGAGTAGTGAGTAGTGGGTAGGGAGTAGTGAGTAGTGAGTAGTGGGTAGTGGGTGGTAGTGGGTAGTGAGTAGTGAGTCGTGAGTAGTGAGAGGTGAGTAAGGAGAAGTGAGTAGTGAGTAGCGAGTAGTGAGTAATGGGTAGTGAGTAATGCGTAATGAGCAGTGAGGGGGGCTAGGGTCAGGGTTCGGGGTTAAGGTTGGGGCTTTGGGTAAGGGTGAAGATTAGGGTTGGGGGTGGTAGGGGTCGGGGTCCGGAGCCTGGGGGCGCCGTGGCGAAAGGGGGGAAAGGGGGGGGGCTCGAATTTGGCGGCCAAAGGGGGGGAAAGGGGGGGAGGGGGGGGGGGGGCGCCGACGACGGATCGGGAAAGGGGGGGAGCGGGGGGTCCCCGACGACGGATCGGGAAAGGGCAGGAGGGGGGATTCTCCGACAACGGATCGGGGAAAGGGGGGGGGTCCCACCCCCACCCCCATTGTTGCCATTGTTGGGGAGATCTACCGGCGCACCCTCGCAGAATCTAGCCTTCCCCGGCCTTGGGCAGACTGGGGCTGGGCATGTTTGTCTGAAGGGACGGGGTAGGGGGACCGCGCGCCGCTCGCTCGCCGCGCTGCAGGGCGGCGCGGAGAGGGGGCGCGCCGAACGGCCGCCGCCCGCGCGGGCGCGACCGCCCCGCAGCGATGACGCTTGCAGTATTTAGATGTTTGGTTTTTCTGTTTCTTCGCTTGCGTTGCAGCCAAGCCAGGTTTTTGTTGCGCCGGGCGCCCGTGCCCCGCCGGCTTGTCGCTGGCCCCCTGGGTCGGTCCCTCTGCCTGGGACGCCTGGCTCGCGTGGCTGTCGCCGGCCTTGCGTCGCGGCCCCGTCGTCGGCCTCGCCGCCGCGGGCTGTGTCGTCTGTGTCATCGCCGTTGGCGCCGCGTCGGCGTCGCTTGCGCCGTTGGTCGCCGCTGCTGTGCCGCCCCCGTCGGCTGCTGCCGTCGCGTCGTCGTCGTTGTGGTCGCTGTTGCTGCCTGCGCCGTCTCGCTGCTGCCGCCAGTGGTGGTCGCCGTCGCCGGCGCTGGTTCGCCGCCGGTCGCGGGCCCTTGCTACTATCCGGCCAGCTCGTAGCAAGGCCTGCGAGGCGGAGCGGAAGCCTCCCGCGGTCGGCCAAGTCGGGGGCGTGATGCGTGCACCGTAGCCACTCGGCTCACTCTTACCACGAGCGCCGCCCGCGCGGCACCCCTTGTCGGCCGACTTGCTAGTTGAGACGGAGCTGGCCAGGCCACCGTTGGCCGCGCTGAAGCCGCTGGAGACGCCACCGTTGGCGGCGGCCGCGTTATCGGCTGAGGCCGCGTTGTCTTGCCCCGCGGACGGGGCGCGAATCAGCAGACCCCAGGCCAGGCCCGAGGCCGTCCGCCCAGCCGCGCCTCGCGCCGACTTGAGGCGGAGGCGGAGAGCGCCCCCGGCCGCCAAGGCCGTTCGCCTCGGACCAGTGCGTCTGCACGACGAAGGCATGTTGAAGGCGACGACCGCCTGGTCCACGATCCTTGCCGCGGTCGGCGGCTGGGCCCGTAACCTGCTGCTGAAGCTCGGGGAAATGGGGCATCGGCGTCACTTCAGCACGATACTCTGGAAGTGGTCGCACAGGACGGCGCGGCTTCGCGCCCGTCACATCATGGATTTCATAGCTTGGCACGAGGCCAACCACTCCCCGCGGCCTCGCGACGAACCCGTGCCAAACGCGGAGGAGCGGCTTATCGAGAGTGCATGCGCCACTTGATGGATGCTTGAGCCAATGCCGCAGTGCCGACGTCCAGACTGGCAACTCTGTCATATTTGGACCGAGTGGCCGACCTGAGCCCCCCGCTACCAGAGGACAAGCTCTCCGTCGCGGCCCCCGCCGAGGCGCGCCAGCGCGACGGCGAGCGAATGAAGAGGCGGGCCACATTATATGTAATACCCGAGGTGGCCCTCCTGGAGATAGTTGCAGCCGCGTCACCCGAAGCAATTGCACGGGTCGTCGCTTGCGCCGAATTGCGCAAGCTCTACGGGGCATTGCGGAACGGCGACGCAATTTGGAACCACGTGGGCAAATTGAGCTTCGAAGGGGGGCCCGACGGCGCGTGGATTGGGACCTGCGTCAATATGAAGGCGGCGGAGACGACGGCAGCTTGGCTGCCCAATGGCGTGCCGCGGGTGGCGCCACTGCGAGGTATCTCGCGAGCGCCTCCCCCCTGGGCAGCGACCGCTCAGCGCGACCTAGCCGACTTCGGGATCAACGTCGGCGACCGGCGCGTGGCCGCCCCCTTCGAACGCGCGCCTCGGCATCGAGCCTCCGCGGGCGACAACGGGGCCCGAGTTGCAGAGCAACCTCGCGCGCGCGTTCGGGGCAGCCCGACTGGCGGTCGAGCGGGGCCGAGCGATCGAGCTACATTCGGCCGAGCGTTGGCAAGGGCAGGCTGTTCGGGTATATTTTTCGACCTGGAGCGTCGAGCTCTAGGCCGTCATCGGTTCACGGGGGTTGGGAAAATTGCGCGCGCGCGACGCGTCAGAAGTCGCGGGCCCCGCGGCAAAGCTGCGAGGCCTGCTCGGGGACATCGCGCGCGGAAAACTCTGGCCTGATGCCCCGCCAGGATTGCAGCGGCTCGAAGCGGCAGGCGCCCGCGGCGCCGTCGCGCGGCCAGAGCGCCGCCAACGCCTCAAACATGCGCGGGAAGCAATGGCGCGATCAAAGTACAAAGCATAATGCCGCAGAGCGCGGCGTTGCGCAGCGGCCCCGCAAGCGCCGGCGCGGTCAGGCCCAGCGGGGGAAGTTCATGCCGCGGCGCCATTTTCCTCGGCGCCCCCAGCCTCGCGGCGAATGGGTTGTTTTTCCATGCGGCCGTGCCCGCCAGAGCCGCGCAGGGCAGCGACGCTAGAAGGAAGCCCAAATGCGTCGCGCACGCCCCCATGCGGCGCGGCGACAAACCATTGCGATTCCGATATGGGGACAGCGCAGTGGGCAGCGACGCCGTCCCCAGGCCATGAAGCTTGCGAAGTGTGCGCGGCGCTTTCGAGACGCCCTCCTCGACCTCCGCTGGGCCCCCCCCCCCGGGCTCGCGGGGGGCTGGCGCCGGCGCGGGCGCGACGGCGTCGAGGCAGGTGAGGGGAAAAAGGGGTCCGCCGTCTGGGGAGGCGCCTTCTTGCGGCGACCTCGCTCGTGCAGGCAGGCGTCGCGTAACGCGCGACCGCGGGCGGCTGCCCCCGCCGGGGAATCTCGCGCTCGCGCGACCGGGCCAGAGGGCGCGGCACGCCCCGCGGGCCGATCCTTATCGGCGAATGGTCGGTCGCGGTAGAAGCGCGCGAATAGAGCGCATTCGGGGAAGAGGCGCGTTCGTTGCAGAGCATCAGTTGTCCAGGGGCTCCCATCGCCCAGGAGCGCGCGCTGGGTCGAGGCGACGGGGCGCCCGCGGGCGCCCCCCCCCCCCCCCCCCTCCCCGTCTTTCCTTGCGAGGCAGGTGGCCCGCGGGGTCCAAGTCTTTCCCCCTCCCGGTCTTTCCTTCCGGGCGCAGGCGCGCGCCTCCAGTGCGCAATAAGCAGGCCCCCTGGAGGGGTGCGTCGGGCCCGCCCCCCCCCCCCAACCTCGATGTGATTCTTTTGGCCGCAGCCCCGCGGAGCTTGCGCAGGCGGCGCCCCTCTGGAGACTCTCTCGGCGAGGCGCGGCGCGGCGCGGGGGCGCCCGGCCGCGGGGCCCACTGCGCGGCGCCCGGCGGGGGGGGGGGGGGTCGACCGGGCGGGCGAAGCTCGCGAGCTGGCCCGCCTCAAGTCACTGGGGCCACCGCGCCGCGCGCGCCTGCGGTGATCGCGCCCATGTCGAACATATTGAGTGGCTTACCGAGATCGCCGTGCATGTGAAGACGCCTCGCGGCTGTCGGCCTCCCCGCCGTTGAGGTGGTCGCAGATTCGGCGGCCCCCGGGGTGATTGAGGGCTCGGGCGGCAGCGTCGCGACCGAGGCAGTGGGCGCGGTCTTCATTGAAACCATCGCGAAGGCTTGCGACGAAGTGAAAACGCGCCGCGGCCGCCGGGGCACAGGCGCGCAAGTTCTACGCGTGCTGCCGCGCGGAGGCGGCGGCCCAGGCCAACGCCGCGGCGGCGCGCCCTGAAATCCAGGAGATTACCGCCGCAGATCTGGCCGCGGAGAAACGCTGCGACTTGTCGCTCGCCCGCCGGAAGAAACGGCCGGAGGCTCTGGCGGCCGCGGGCAGGTGCGAGGTCGACGAGAGCAGGCTGCCGTCGGACCGGCTCTGGGGCCAGCGCGAGAGGTTGGGGCGCGCGAGCAAGGAGTTCGCGCCGCTCCCGCCGACAAAGATCCAGTTGCTGCTCGCAGCGTCGCGCAAGCCAGGCCGGGCCCAGCTCCAGCCCGGAGCGGGGGGCGTCCTCGCGTGGGGGGTGCTGGCCATAGGGAAGCCCGCGGCCATCTTCCTGGCGGCGGCCGAGGAGGCGATGTTCATCGAGAACCCGCTCTACTTGACCAGCTGGGTATCCCAGCTCCAGCCGCTGGAGGCATTCTCCGCCAGGTTCTGGGCGCGGGCGCGGAAGAGCTGGGCGCCCGCGCCAGGATGCAGGCCACTGAGCCTCAGCGAGCATCAGCACGCCTACGACCTGTTCCAGCAGTGGGCGCACGCCAGCAGGGCGAAGGAGGGCGTCCACATCGACGACGCAGTGACTGCCTGCTTGCCAGCAGACAGAGACGAGCTGGGCGGGCGCCTGGCGCTGGCGCCGAGTCTCCAGACGGCCTGGCAGGATCTCGCGCCTGAGCCACGCGGGCACTGGGGCAACGGGGGCGGAAACCGCCGGCCCCGCGACGCGCGAGCGGAGCAGCATAAAGGCAAGAGCAAGGGCAAGACAGACCGCGGCCCCAAGAGGGAGGCAGCGCAGAAAATTCGGGTCTGCAACACTCCTCGAAACTTAACGCGAGTTTTGCCGACCCCCCTTCGTCCCCAGTTTCAATGTTCAGTTGCGCGCGCGGCACGGTCCACGGATGCCGGCGAAAATTCTGAAGTCATGTGCTTCGGAAGCAACGCTGACATTGGGGGGTTTGGGGGTGCCGACGCGGCGCGGGAAAAACTTGCGCTAAGTTTCGTGGAGGGATGCATCGGACGTGGCTGGGACGAGGATAGCTCCATTCCAAAGCGCTGCGGAACGCTCTCAGAGCGTTCTGGAACGCTCTGAGAAGGCCGCGGCGCCCGAGACATCCTCCAGAGCCGCCGTTTATCTCAGAGATTCTCGCTCTGTCCTCACCCGAATGAATCTTCGTCATGGCTTCGTTGTACCATAGGGCTCTGGTCGTGATTTGTCGCGGAGGGATGTACCAGCAGGGGAAGCATACATTATAATCGTTGGCTCCAAGGGAAATATTGATTTTTTCAAGTGGAGAGGACGACGAAATTCTAGGAACCATGGCAAACACGGGGATCCTGAGGCTCATATCCTTGGATATATATATATATATATATATATATATATATATATATATATATATACATATATATATATATATATATGTCGTTGTCAGTCTGTCTGTCTGTCTGTCTGTCTGTTTGTCTGTCTGCCTGCTGCATGCATGCATGTATGTTTGTATGCATGCATACACATACTTGTGTGTCCCTGAGCCCCTTCGATGTTGGGCTCCGGTCGTGATTTTGTCATTACAGTCAACCCACATAAGGATGAACATCTTTCAAGGCTACCCTTGCATTCTTGCCCCTTCGGCCCATCCCTGGCCGCTTTCGCTGGCCGCGCTCCGCTGGTGCGTCCTCATCATACGGGTTTGACTGTATCTATATATATATATATATATATATATATATATATATATATATATATATATATGTGTGTGTGTGTGTGTGTGTGTGTCCCTGGGCCCCTTCGATGTTGGGCTCCGGTTGCAATTTGTCGCTGCGTCCTATTTTTTCTGGCCCGCAGCGTTGGAGCTCGAGGGGCGTGCTGCCGCTGCTGGGGCCGCCGCGCCGAGCGGGGCGTCAAAGCGCGCCGCGCCCTCACGCGGGGGCCGCGCGCTCCTGCCTGGCCTCGGATCCGCCGTGCTCTGGCCAGTTGTTTTCCCGAGCTCGAAGTTCGCAGGTTGTGTTTCTCCCCCAGCCCCCGACTTGTCGACGACGAATGAAGCCGTTCAGGAAAGGATGGAACCTTGGGATACAACCCAAGGGGGCCATTCGGACGCACCCCTATCAAGGATGGGCGCCCCCCCATCGTATATCCCAGGGTTGTGTCCCAAGTTGTTGGTCCATTCGAAAACCCCACGAAGCCTGGGATTGGGGTCGACCTCTCTCTTGTTGAATCGCTCGGACGTGTGCTTTCCCGGAGATCCGACGCTTCGATAAAATCGGGGCGGCAGGTTTGGGGCCGTTTTCGGCCTCCGGGGGCCCTCGCCAGGCCTCGGGGCGGCCAAAAAAACGACTCACGACGACAAACCCGGCCTTGGGGAAGTGGTCCAGACCTCCGGGGCTGGGGCCCACGCATCGAAAAAATTAGAGCAGCGGGATGTCTGGGAATTGTGACGCTTGGCAGCGCTCGGACGTGTTCGTTTTCCCAGGCGAGGACCACCGTGGAGCACATTGGGATCACTTTCCGAACAAATAAGCGCACGAGTCCAAGAAATGAACAGGGAATGGACGTCCGAGCGATGGCAAGGTTTGGAATGCACCCCAAACGATGCGAAGAAGTAGGACGGGACTTCCGCCTCAGAGAAGCAGGGCGGACATTTTCGCAAAGGCATGGCGGAGGCAGCCAGTCAATCAGTCAGTCAGTGTGTTGGAAATGCGCCACCGGCAGTCAGGTCGCCTGGCACCAGACGGTGCGCAAGCAAGATAACATGCTGTAGCACAGGAAATTCAAGCGAGCCATGCGCGGACAGCTGACTCCCATGCCGGCGCTGCACCGCCCTCCTGGCGGAAGTAGTCAACAAGACGGGCAGGGATGCCAGCAACGTCCAAACAGCTGTCAATGAACATTATTCCTGACACTTGCCGTGAGCGCCCTCTCTTCCCGATGCCTGTCGGCTGCTTGAGAGCGAGACTGCTTGGTTCAAATACCGACTGTCTCACTGGATCGTTGCCCGCCCGTCTGGCGAGTTGCCCAAGTAATATCGTTTTGTCTTTTGACGATGAGCTCGCTGAGTGACCGTTCGCCAGCCATGCTTAGGACGGCACTGTTCGACATGCAATTGGTGTAAGCAGATAGGACCCGAAATATGGACCTCAAACAGTTTGTTTGAAAGCCGTGCATTCTTCTCCGTTCTGACAAGCTGCAAGTAGACAGTGCACACGAATGGAAACAATGCACGCGTTAACAATTGCTATATGCGACCACGGCGATTTCAATGCTTTGAATTTTTGCTTGGCCATGCCGATTCTCCCGTTCAGCTCCGATCCGCATCGTCCGTCCGACGCGATCTGGGTACCGAGGTAAGTCAGAGCTTCTCTTTCTTGTGCTGGGTCTCTGGTGCTTTTCTGCAGTTGAGCGTTAGAGCGGACCTTCATCCGCTCCACTCGTCCAGCCCAGACTCAAATCGTAGTGCTTGCCGTATCTCGCACGCCATCAGCTCGCCCACCAGGACGGGATCAGCATGGAGGAGCACAGTGTCGCTCGCGCAAATCATCTCCTGGACAACGTGCGCATCGGGGAGATCTGGTAGCCGCTATAGCCGAAGCCAGAGCTCTTCGTGTGGATGTGTCTGCCATCAAAGTTTTCATGACCATGGCGAGCAGAAAGGGGGACAATGGACACCTTTGGCAAATGCTGGCACGCCGAGATCGGACTCCACAAACGTCCTGGCATTGTAAATTGACGTGACTGAATCGACGGATTTGTCTAGGCACCCGAATATCTTGAGCGAGCTAGCCAAGGCATCTGGCGCCACCGAGTCGAATGCTTTCGCCCAGTCTACGGCCAAGAGCGCGGTGGAAATGCACGGCCAAGAGCGCGGTGGAAATGCAACCCAAGCGATGCGAAATGATAGGGCGGGGATTTCCGCCTCAGAAGAGTGGGGCGGATACTTCCGCAAGACATGGCGGAAACAGCGACTGCAAGGCGGGGCGGACGTCGGCATCAGAAGAGCCTGAGCAGCAGGGCGGAAATTTCCGCCCTACCTGCGAAGTCGCCCAAAGAGTACCCTGAGATCTGACGCTGCGAAAACCGGTGCAACGTCGCGATCAATCACGACCGGAGCCCCAGACCCCATCTTTCTGCGCCAGTCTGCGAGCCAGATCGATCTGAGGGGATCTCAGGGCCCGAAACTGGGCGAAAACGCCCGCTGAGCCCGCTGTGAAGAACAAATTCAACTCCAGGATCTCAGGGTACGTCGGCCACGCGCAGAGGGGTGGCAGGGGGAGGGGTGAAGGCTTCTCAGAAGCACCCCTGCTTCTTAGAAAGCGCGGGCCTTGTGCAGATGTGAGGCCGGCCTCCTCTAAGAAGCGGCCTCCTTCTAAGAAGCCTTCCCCCTCCCCCTACCCATTAGTGCACTCCGCCAAGTACAGTCAACCCGCATAGTAAAGATGAGCGACTTTCCAAAGTTACCCTCGCATCCTCCCCCTTCGGCCCATCCCTGGCCGCTTCCGCTGGCCGCGCCCTGCTCGCAAAGTGCCAACATGGCTTTCCAAGGCCCTTGCATCTTCATCGTGGGTCCTCATGATACGGGTTGGCTGCAGGGCCCCATCCCCCTCTTGGGGCCTGCTGGGAAGCCCTCGTCGCCGCCGCTGGATTCGTCTCGAGACTCTGGTCCGAACGCACCCCGGGAGGGGTCTGGGGAGAAAAGCTGTGGGGAGGAAGAGGAGGAGGAGGAGGAGCAGGAGGAGGAGGAGGAGCAGGAGGAGGAGGAGGAGGAGGAGGAGGAGGAGGAGCAGGAGCAGGAGCAGGAGGAGGAGAAGGAGGAAGGAGGAGGAGGAGGAGGAGGAGCAGGAGCAGGAGCAGGAGGAGGAGGAGGAGGAGGAAGGAGCAGGAGCAGGAGGAGGAAGGAGGAGCAGGAGGAGGAGGGAGGAGGAGGACGAGGACCTCGAGCGGCGAAGGCTCCGCTCGGGGGGCTCCGCTGCTCCTAGACGCAGGGCCCCCTCCCGCAGGGCCCCATCCTCGGGCCGCCGAGGGCAGCGAGAGCTTTAGGTCGGGCGTGTCCCCCAACAGGCGAATTTCGGTAAAAAGTTGTCAAAACATAGTCATAGTCAAACACTGGTAGAAAAATCGTCCCCATTTTTTGGTGACTATTTTTGAATATTCCTCCATTAGAGGGACACGCCCGACTTACGGCGAGCTCGAAGAGGGGCCAGCCATTTGGGGGGGGCGGTGGGGGCGAGGAGACTCGCTCGAGTGCGGCGGCGCGGCCCGCCCCCCGGAGAGAAGCGGCGAAGAGGAGGGAGGAGAGAGCAGGGAAGAGGCAGGAGGGAGGGCGGAGCAGGGAGGGGGGAGGGAGGAGGAGGGAGGATGGGGGGAGCGAGGGAGGGAGGGGGAAGGGAGGGATGGAGGGAGGGAGGGGTTGAGGAAGGAAGCGGAGGAGGAGGGAGGAAGCGGTAATTAGTGATAGACCCTTCCGTCCCAGGCTAGCTCCTCACACGAAGCGGCCCTGCAGGCGCCTCGTTGATTGTGCGGCGGATCCGAAGTCGGCCCGCGATTGCTGGCGCGCGCCCATGCGCTGCTGGGCCACGGGGTCGCCGGGGCAGTCCGGCGGCCGCGGCCGCAGGCGGGGGCTGGCGGAGCCCACGGCCCTCGGAGCCTCGGCCAGAGCCCCTGAGGGGGGACCCGAGGCGGCACAGAGCTCTCCTCCTCCCTCCTTTCGTCGTCCTCCTCCTCCTCCTCCTCCTCCTCTTCCTCCTCCTCCTTCCTCCTCCTCCTCCTCTTCCTCCTCCTCCTCCTCCCTCCTTCCTCCTTCCTCCTCCCTCCTCCCTCCTCTCTCCTCCCTCCTCCTCCTCCTCCTTCCTCTTTCCTCCTCCTTCCTCCTTCCTCATCCTTCCTCCTCCTTCCTCCTTCCTCCTTCCCCTTTCCTCCTCCATTCCTTCTCCTTCTAGATAACCCTCCCTGTCGCACCAGGAAGCCAGTTTTTAGGGCGGGACGGGCGTTTCGCCTGAGACTTCCTCACCAGTCATGATTCTGAAGCTCAAAAAGTGAACAGTTTCACAGATGGAGGGCGGGTCGCTTTCAAAATGTGGCTCTCGTCTTAGCGCCGCACACATTCGTTTTAAACATTTCCCAACGTTTCACGGATTGAGGGCGGGTCGTTTTCAAAATGTGGCTCTCCCCTCAGCGCCGCGCACATTCGCTTTAAACATTTGCAAGAGCTTCACGGGTTGAGGGCGGGTCGTTTTCAAAATGTCGCTCTCGACTTAGCGTCGCGCACGCTCGTTGTAAAACATTGCAAGAATTTCACGGATTGAGGGCGGGTGGTTTTCAAAATGTGGTTTTCGCCTTAGCGCCGCGCGCATTTGTTTCAGACATTTGCAAGAGTATCACGGACTGAGGGCGGTTCCTTTTCAAAGTGTGACTGTCGCCTTAGCGCCGCGCACATTCGTTTTAAACGTTTGCAAACGTTTCACGGATTCTCATGATCAGCGTACCAGAAACGGCGTTTTGGAAGGATTCAGGACTATGCGGGCGCAAGAGTTATGTTGATTCGCTGTGTTGAAGTCCCAAAAAGGGCGTCCTCGCACGATTCTGGATCGTCAAGACGCAGCAGTCAGGTTGATACGTGGCGATGCAATCCTGGGAACAATGTTTTGGCACGCTTCAGGATCTTCAAACTGTTGTCTTCCAACGAGGCAGTTCCCTCAATGGAAATGAACCGTTGTAGGGGCCTATGAAGAGAGAGCTTGGAGGGAGGGTTGAGTCCAACATCGTCGATGACTCTTGAGTTTCCACTGGTCCTCCTCCTCCTCCTCCTCTTCCTCCTCCTCTTCCTCCTCCTCCCTCCTCTCTCCTCCCTCCTCCTCCTCCTCCTCCTCCACCTCCTCCACCTCCTCCTCCTTCCTCCACCTTCCTCCTCCTTCCTCCTTCCTCCTCCTTCCTCCTGTTTCCTCCTTCCTCCTCCTTCCTCCTTCCTCCTTCCTCCTCCTCCTCCCCCCCCGTTCTCCTTCCTCCTTCCTCTTTCCCCGTCCTCCTTCCTCCTTTCCTCTTTCTTCCTCCTCCCTTCTTTCCTCTATCCTCCTTCCTCGTCCCTCCTCCGTCCTCTGGTCTTCCTCCCTCCTCCGTCCTCGCGCGGGCGGGCTTGGGGGGCTGGCTTGGGCGAGGAGGCCTGGTTTGGTGGCACTGCGGGGCGCACTTGACACGGGGGCATGCCCTGAGATCCTCCAGGCGTCTCGTTTTTTTTAGGTCCAGGCGTTTTTTCGCCTGCTTTTGGGCCGCAGGACCATCACTGATCGATCTGGCTCGAAAGACGCAGCAGAAAAATGGGGTCTAGGGCTTCGTGTTTCCTTACAATGTTGGGTTTTCCTCAACGACGGATCTCAGGGTCCGCCATTTCCGCTTCTGGGCCGTGCGAAACGGGTTGGCACCAGCAACGCGCTTCGACACGGGGGCAGGGGAGGGAGAGGAGGGCGGGGGAGCACTGAGATCCGACGTTGCGAAAAGTTGCGCCATGGCGAGAAATCGCGACCGGAAGCTCTGGACCGTCCTTCTGCGCCATGTCTCGAGCCGGATGAGGGTCCAGGGGCCCGAAATAGTTTCCGAGGGCCGCCGAGGGACGCCGAGGGCCCCCGAGGGCCGCCGAGGGCCGCCGAGGAACGCCGCGAGGGCCGCCGAGGGCCCACGTGGCGGCCGGGCGGAACGGCCGCGCGGCGGTCGTGGGCTTCGCGGGCCGTGGGTCCTTCCGCGGGGCCGCGGGCAGGCAACGTGACGCTGGCGCCGCCCTCGGCGTTGGCGCCGCCTGGCTCGCGATCGGCGAACTGCGCCGCGCCAGGCCGCCGCCGGCCAGCGGGCCCGCGGCGCCGCAGGAGGGGGCGGGGCGGAGGAGGAGGAGGAGGAGGAGGAGGAGGAGGAGGAGGAGGAGGAGGAGGAGGGGGAGGAGGAGGGGGAGGAGGAGGAGGAGGAGGAGGAGGAGGAGGAGGAGGAGGAGGAGACGAATGGGAGGAGGAGGAGGATCGCACGCCACTGAGGGGAAAGGGGGAAGGGGTCCGACGGTCCAAAAAACCCAGGGGCCCATCGGAGTGGGCCTTTTTGTCACCCTGGCAGGAAGGCCAACGACCTGCCAGGGGCCAACGGCAGGGCCCCCTCTGGGTATCTAACCGACCGCCTCTGCGTCCTCCAGATCGTTGTCTGGGGTACGTTCTTGCAGCTTGGGTCCCAGCTCGGCCGCTTCGGACTCGTTCAGCCCAAAGCCATGGAGGACGTCCGCCAAGCACAAAATTGCATAGCGGCCCGCGTCGGGCCTTAAAAGACTGCCTTCTCTCTGCTGGGCCGTCTTGGGCTCCTATTTTCCCCCACCAGCTCACGCGCCCAGGCCCCAGGAGGAGGACGGGGAAGAGGAGGAGGAGGAGGAGGAGGAGGAGGAGGAGGAGGACCAGCGTAAACCTAAAAGTCATCAATGATGTTGGAAAACCCTCCCTCCAAACTCCCATTTCACAGGCCCCTTTACAAAAGGTTAATTTCCATTGGGGGAACTGCCTCGTTGGAAAACAACCGTTTGAATACCCTGCAACATGCCAAAACATTATTCGTGGGATTCCATCGCCACGGATCAACCTGACTGTTGCGTGTTGACGATCCTGCATCGTGCCAGAACGCCATTCCTGGGACTTCAACACAGCAAATCAGCCTAACTTTCGAACCCTCATAATCCTGAATCCTTCCAGATACACCATTCATGGTACGTTTATGATGGGAGTCCGTGAAACTCTTGCATTTTTTGTAAACGAATGCGCGTGGCGCTAAGGCGAGAGCCACAGTTTGAAAACCACTGGCCCTCAATTCAATCCGTGCAAACCTTGCACATTTTTCACACGAATGTGCGCCGCGCGAAGGCGAGAGCCACATTTTGAAAACGGTCCGTTCTCAATCCGCAAAGCTGTTGCACATTTAATGAACGAATGTGCGCGACGCTACGGGGAGAGCCACCATCTGAAAACGACCCGCTCTCAATCCGTGAAACTCTGACACAACTTGAAAACGAAGGTGCGCCGCAAGCTTTCGAGTCATACATGGTGAGGACGTCTCAGGCGAAACGCCCGGCCCGCCCTAAAAATTGGCTTCGGGGTGCGACAGGAGGAGGTTGCTTATGAGGAAAAGGAATGGAGGAGGAGGAGGAGGAGGAGGAGGAGGAGGAGGAGGAGGAGGAGGTGGCGGAGGAGGAGGAGGAGGAGGAGGAGGGAGGAGGAGGAGGAGGAGGAGGAAAGGGGAAACGCGAGAGGAGGAGGAGGAGGAGGAGGATAGGAATAGGAGGAGGAGGAGGAGGAGGAGGAGGAGGAGGAGGAGGAGAGGAGGAGGAGGAGGAGGAGGAGGATAAGGAGGAGGAAGTGGAAGCGGATGGAGGAGGAGGAGGAGGAGGAGGAGGCGGAAGATGGGGAGGAGGAGATGGAGGAGGAGGAGAAGGAGGAGGAGGAGGGGGCGGAGGAGGAGGAGGAGGAGGAGGAGGAGGAGGAGGAGGAGGAGGAGGAGGAGGAGGTGGCGTCGCCGCACCTGCCGGCGTCGCAGGCGGCAGCGCTCCTGCTGCGGTTCGGCGGCACGGGCAAGCTCACCCACCAGCTGCGCACCTGCCGACCAGCCGACGCCCGGGCCGCCGCCGCCTCTTTTGACGACGCCGCGTTGGAGGCCTACCGGGAGCTCGCGCGCCTTGTGGCCCCCTGGGGCAAGAGCAGCAGGCGCAATGCCGCTTGCCGCTGCGGCTGGGCGGCCCGGGCCTCCAGAGCCAGGCCGCGCTGAGGCCGGCTGCCTGGGCGGCTTCCTGGGCGCAGAACCTGGTGGGGGTGCGGGCCCGGACAGGCTTGGCGGGGCTGGCTGACCTGGACACTTGCGGCCTGCCCCTAGCGGCCGCCTGCCAGGAGGCGCTGGCAGAGCTGCTGGCAGAGGGGGGGAGAGGGCCCAGCTGCTGCCGCCCTGGAGACAGCTGGCGGCCGAACCTCAGCAACAAACTCAGCGGCTGCTCACGATAAGGCTTGACAGAAAACATTACCACGCCTTGCGGAGCACCCTGGGAGCTGAGGAGCGGGCACTGCTGTGCTCGTGCGGAGGGCCTCACGCGGAGGGCTGGCAGCTTGCCAACGGCGGGCCCCGCCAGCGGCTCGAGGACGCCGCCTACTACGCCACGGCACGAGCCCTGCTGGGCCAAGACACCGCGCCCGCCAGGAGCCGCTGCGGCAACCGCCTGCAAACTGGCGCGAGGGTGGGGCAGGCCTGCGGAGAGCCGCTCTGCAGCAAGGCGCGCCGCGCTTACAGGTGCGCCTGCGGGGGCGGCACCAAGGCCCGGAGCCGCGACCTGGAGGGCGTCTGGGAGCACATCCACCAGGAGTGTGGCTTCCGGACAGCGCGGCAGGTGCCAGTGCCCAACGGGGACAGATGGCGCTGGCGCTGCTCTTCCGCGGCCTGCACGGCGCGCGGCGCCGCCGACGCCCCGCCGCCTGGGCCGCGCGCGGCCTGCGGAGCGGCGCATGCGGCGGGGCGGGAGGAAGCGCTCCTGCACCTGGAGGCGCAGCGAGGGGATTGCCCCCGCCTCCTCGCTGACGTCACGGTCCGCTACAGCGTCCCGGGCGACGCGCGGGCCTTGGCCGCAGCCGCCGACGGAAACGGCGCGGTGAACGCCGCCGCGGGGGCCAACAAGCGGCGCCGCTACCCGGGGCACCGTGCGCCTTGGCCGCTGTTGCCGCTGGCGCACGAGACCGCCGGCCGCCTCGGGCAGGCGGCGCTGTGGCACCTGCGCTGGCTCGCGCGCGACCAGGCGCAGAGCTTGGGCGGCGGCCCGGAAGCGGCGGCCGCGGCCAGCGCGCTGACGCGGCGCTGGGGCGCCGAGCTCAGCGCGCCGCTTCACCGCGCCGTCGCTCGGCAGCTCCGCGCGGCCGTGCTCGGCGAGGAGGCCCCAGCGACCGCCGCCCGGCTGGCGGCGGAGCGGGCCGGCTGAGCGCCTGCGCAAGCGCGGGGGCGCGGCGGCCCAGGTCGTCGCGTTCGGCTACATGGGGGGGGGAGGGAGGGGGGGGGGAGGAGGGAGCGAGCGAGCGAGTGGCGCAGCAGCAGTCGGATCGATAGCTGCGGCCGTGGAGGGGGATCGCGGGAGGGTGGGCAGAGATGCCAACCCTGCTGCTAGAATGAGGCGAGCGAGTGGGCGCCAAGCCGTGCCCGTTGCGAGCACCTCCCGCGGGGGCAGTGCATGCCACTCAATGCAGTCAGCGCCTGCAAACCAGGCACCAAGTGACCGCGGCAGCTACATTACGGCACAGGCCGACTGAAGGCAAAAATGCTTGGGTGGATGAAGAGGGGCCACGACAGGATTTCGCGGCCCCAAGAAATTAGTCAGACCAGCCCGAGTCTCCCTCCCCAGCGCCACAACCCACAACGATGCTCGAGGCTGCCGCAGCAGCAGAAACAGAGGAGCACTGGGCAGTGGCACTTGCGCGGTCAGGAGACTCGGGCGTGAGCTCGATCTGGACTCCCGTGCCAGGGTGTCGGCCACTCTCCGCGCGAGCAAGTTTCCTGAGGTGACCATTGCGCGTCGCCTGCGCTTGCGATACACCGCGGCACATCCGACGAAGTCCCCGACAACAGCCATCAGGGAGCACCAAAAAACAAGCACAATTCAGGCAGATGATGATTCTACCGTGGCGTACAGGTCGGCGCTGCAGGTCGCTAAAAACTTCGAGGCCGTCTTCGGCCGATCCAGAGGGGCCCCTGGACCAGGAAGAGGAAGAGGAGGGCCCCAAGTCCCCAGGAGGCTCAGAGGAGGAGGCTCCAGGCAGAGGCCCCAGGATCGCGCTAGCAAGCTCCAAAGCGGGACCAGCGGCAGCCGTCGAGTCAGAGCCCGCAACCAGGCCTTGCTCTGCTAACTTCTTAAACAACACGTTGGCCTGCCATTGCTGAATGGCGGTTGGCTTGCATTCACGACTTCCCCCCGTTCTCAGACCCTTGAGTGTCTGGTCGGCGGTCGCTGCCATGTTGCAGCGCCTACATCTCCATTCGGCACGAGCCTCTACATAACAAAGTTCATGCTGCGAAGTCGATAGCTTCGGCGCCATACTTGGGGCCTGCCTGGGGGGAGGTTGCGGGGCTTCGACCTGGTCTCCCGCAATGCTAATTATCTGGATGGCACGTGCTAAAAAGTCCCAGGTGAGCTGATGCTTATTTGACCTGGACCCTCTCGGCCTTGACATAAACACCTGGAACATGGTGCATGCCCGAGCCTAGCCTGGCGAAAAAATCGGCCCATACATTTCCAAGGTAGTCTTGGATGTCTGAGCTCGTGCACGATCGTATATCACCTGGCCCTCGGTGCGCTGGGACCCATCGGAAACTTGGCCTCTGAAGGCCATCGCCGTGAAGCTCGAATATCTTGCGCCATATATCTGCATGCGCATGTCGGGCAGCCGCCAGATCAGGATCCCACGAGCACCCTTCGCGAACGAGCTGGAGGTGATCTGTGACCACTTCGGCCTCTTGGGGTGCAACTTCTATCGCACGAAGCGCCGCGTGCCTCTCAGCGCGGGGCACCGTCTGGCGCCCACGCAAAGGCCCGTAGAGGGCCCTGTGGGGCACGCCCCACTGATCAACCTCGACGGCAGCCCATCCACACCGTCTAAGTTCTGGGCTTGAGTTCGCAAGCCCTGAACCGTCGGTGTAGATGCGCCTGCCCCAGGGCCCCGTCGTTGCACCCCAATGAACCGTGGGGGCCTCGGGGATCTCTGGGACACTGAGGGAATAAAAAGGGAGCCCACACGCAAGCTCCAGAGTGTCCCAGTCTGCTTGTAATCCAGAGTACCCCGAGTCCCTTAAAGCCTCTCTGTGCTCTAAAATGTCGTCC